CGTATGTATGTACTTATATTATACATGTTTTTTCCCCTGAGAGTATGTAAGCTCCTTGAGGGCAGGGACTATTTCATTTTTGACTTTGTATCCCCAGCTCCTAGTATAGTGTCCAAGATATAGTGGGTGCTTTAATAAACTTAATAAAGGGGGCAGCTAGGTGGCACAGTGGATAGAGCACCGGCCCTGAAGTCAGGAGTACCTGAGTTCAAATCCAGCCTCAGACCAAACACTTGACACTTACTAGCTGTGTGACCCTGGGCAAGTCACTTAACCCCAATTGCCTCACCAAAATAAATAAATAAACAAACTTAATAAAGCACCCACTGTATCTAAATATAGGTGCTTAGTAAAGCATCTGTTAATTGATTGATGAGTGACAGAGTCAAGATTAAATTCAGGTCCCTTGATGCTGACTCCTGCTCTCTTTCCACACATCTTCCTTCCTTTTCTTTCTCTGCTTTGACCACTTTAGTTCAGGTTTTAGAACCTCATACCAGAACTTTTGCAATAACCTCCTAAGTAGACTCCCATCCTCCCACCTGCAATCCATCCTGAATGCCACAGCCTGATTAATATCCCCAAAATAACAATTTCATCACATTTTTTCCTGCCAAAAATCTTCAGTTCTCCAAGTACTTATAGAATAAAGCCAAACTCTACAGCCTTGCATTCAAGATCTCTACAATCTGGTCCCTATCTACCTTTCCAGCCTCATATCTTACTATTCCCTATATAGATGGTCTGCTCCTGACAGACTGACTGACTCGATATCCCCACCCCCTACCAATGCTGTGCACATCCTCTGCAAATTTAGCTATCCCATTCCTCTGCCTAAAATACTTTCTTTTCCCTCAGCAACATTAGAGAGGCCGAAAAATGTTTTACTGGTACTTTTTTCTTTGTTATACAGTTGTTAATTCCCAGTGACACATTCTTTCACTCTTTCCAACAGAATATAACAAAAAAATAAAATAAAGCAAAGCAAACCAACATATTAGCCATGTCTGACAATTTATGCCTCATTCTACAGCCATAGTCCACCACTTTTGCACTGAAAAGAATGAGCCATTCTTCCCTGTCTGTCCTTATTAGTCAAGATTGATTACTACATTAGTAAAGAGTTCCTCCATCAAACAGTCTTTATGGATAATGGCCAAAGCAACAGAATTTGGGCTAGTGTGAATCATTTACAGTACAATAATATATTTTAAGCTTTTTTTTTCCAGTTTTAGGATCAAAGATCTGAAAGATCTAGAAGAACAGAAAATGGCCTCAATTATTAACAAAACAGGAGCCAAGATGCAAAAAAGGAAACAGTAGCTGAAACAGTGTGGGACATCTCATCAGAACTGCTGAATATTCAAAACATGCATATTTAATTTCTTTTAAAGAAATTATCATGGGGCAGCTAGGTGGCACAGTGAATAGAGCTCTGGACTTGGAGTCAGGAGGACTTGAGTTCAAATCCAGCCTCA